GTCTCCAGTGTGTTTTCTACAAAAAGACTTGATTATGCAGAAAATCCCACTGTTCGAGGAACAATGTGACATATTGTATTTCTCAGTTATGTATGCATTAAAATGTCATCAAACCACTCTACCAGAACCACTTCTCTTAATGCCAGCTGAGATTCCCCAGTGCAACATCTGTAAATGAAGTTCAGCAGTAAAATAAAATATCTGACTAAGAGTTTTTAAAATTTAGGCAGAACTTTTGTTTCCGGAAACTGCCTCAAGTTCCTCAGTCTGTAGGCAGTGTGTTTCCTTTATCAAACAGTGGCCTTTGGTAATGCACTCAAGGACATCTTAAGCCTTTCCCCCCCAACATAACCACCTATAACTTGGATAATTTTAATTAAATCAGCCAAGAAAATCCTGATAAAATACTTAGGCACTCCACTTCCTCAAATGCTTCAGGTAGATTCTGTTTTCATGAGATGGAAGAGTATGGGAATGAGTTTTTAAGACTGATCAGTTAAACCTGTATCTGATTCTTTTCTTAAGATCAAGCTATCACCCACAAATTCAAATTATATGTGTTGGAAGTTTGAAAAGCTAGGATTACTAGACATCTGATGAAAGAACATGCTGTGTTTTGTCCTCATGTCTTCTGTCCAGCAAGCATAGTTGTAAAAACCAAACATTGTCTGGCTTTTTTGAGTATCTTTTAATTGCATTATTTAATTTATTTCCTAATTCCAGTAATTGGCTTCAATCCAGCCCCTTCAAATTTAGGATCACTGTAATCATAAAAATCACATGACTCACATTTCTATGGTGAAATTTAAAAGCAACATCACCATCAATGCAATGTAATTATAGCCTATGTTTTTGAAAATAAAGATTTGTTGGAAAAATTTTGCTAATTAAAAAAAAGCGTTTCTGATCTTGAAAAAAGTAATTTCATATACATAAATAATTTCATATACCTAAATAAACTTTTTCTGCAATTTGTCATGAATGCCAAAAAAAAATAAAAAAAAATCAGTATGTCCTCCTTACTGCCATCTAATTGTCAGTGTTCTCCTTTGCCTATTCAGATATCTGGTAATTCTATGAAAAGTCCAGGATATTTTTACCTAGAAAACAGAAACTCCAAATGTACTTAGCCTGCCTCTCTTACTGGCCTTCCAGTTTCAGTTAAATCTAACTGGAATTTTAATTTCCTTTCTCATTGCCTTCCAAATTAACTATTTTTTCTTTCTTTCTTTCTTTCTTTCTTTCTTTCTTTCTTTCTTTCTTT